GCATTAAGGAAGACACTTGTTGGGATGAGCACTGGGTGTTATACATAGGGGATGAATCACTGGAATCTACTCCTGAAAACTTTATTGCACTATATGCTAACTAACTTGGATATAAATTTAAAAATTTTTTAAATAAAAAAACATTCAGAGAAGTCTTTGATACACGTTTCTCCCTGCTACCAGTAACCATTTTTATTTGTTTTCAGATTATCCTTTCAGTGTTTCATTTTACAAGTATAGGTAAATGCATGTACTCCATCCTCCTTTCTCTCACCCTCAAAAGATAGTATATTTTGTACAGTGTCTGTACCTTACATTTTTTATTTAACAGTATATCCTAGATATCACTCCATAACTGTATTTGGAGATCTTTATTTTTTTATGGCTGCATAATATCCATTATGTGGGTACACTACTGAGAGTCTTTTGGGTTGTTGCCAGTCTTTTACTATTAGAAATAATGTGTAGTGAATAATCTTGTGTCATTTCATACTTGTACCATGTGTGTTGGTGGGGTAGATTGCTTCAAAGTGAGATCATTAGATCAGAGGAAAGATATGTATACAGTTTTGTTAGATACTGGCAAAGTCTCCCTTCATACGTGGTATTCCATTTTTACCATCCCATCAGAGATACTGTGAGGATTAACTGAGTTCGTGCATGTAGACTGCCTAACATGATCACTCAATCAAAGACAGCTTTATCCCTAAAATCAATATTCTTAGACCTTTCATACATTATCAAATGAATTTCAAGACTTCTCAATACCCTGAATACATTCCTAGATGTATATTCCACTTTATATGTAGTCCTTTTTATTACTTTGTGCAGAACTGAATACAATACTTGGTAAATCATTCCAGAGTGATTATTTTGTATTTTAAGAGGTAGAAAAACAATATTAAGTTCCTGGAAGAAGAATCAGATAGGAGGCCCTATTCTTTCACATTCTCAAACATCTGTGAGAATGAAGACCATTCTCAGCAAACTATCAACATTCCAAAAAATGTTGACATCGCTCTGAAGGGATGCACTACTATTGTGAAGGATGCCAGACAAACCCTGCAAAGAGACTCAGTCTCCTTGGAAAGAAAAAGAAGAGGCTCCAAATTGACAAATGGTGGGCAAATAGAAAAGAAATGGCTCTGGGTCGCATTATCTGTAGTCATGTGCAGAACATGATCGAGGGCGTTACACTGGGCTTCCATTACAAGGGAGGGTCTTTGTATGCTCACTTCCCCAACAACATTGTTATTCGGCACAGTGGTTCTCTTGTTGAAGTCTGAAATTTCTTGAGTGAAAAATACATCTGCAAGCTTCGGATGAGGCCAAGGTGTTGCTTGTTGAGTATCTCAGGCCCAGAAAGATGAGTTAATTCGTTAAGGAAATGACAGTGAACTTGTGTCAGATTCAGCTGCTTTGATTCAGAAAGCCACAACAGTTAAAAACAAGAATATCAGAAAATGTTGGGATGGTATCTGTGAAAACAAAACAAAACAAAAAACAGTTCAGCAGCCTGATGAATAAGATCTAAGTTTTCCAGGGGTGCCTGGGTGATTCAGTCGGTTAAAAGTCAGCTCTTTTTTTTTTTTTTTTCCTAGTTTATTTTGAGAGAGAGAGCGTGCGCACACCAGTGTGAGCAGAGGAGGGGCAGAGAGAGGGAAAGAGATAATCCCAGTGTCAGTGTAGAGCCTGACGCAGGGCTTGATCTCAAGAACCATGAGATCATGACTTGAGCCTGAATGCTTAAGTATAGTTAATTTACTGATCCACCTAGGCATTCCAGGCATCTAACTTAATGCTTAAGATTCTCTCTCTCCTTCTCCCTCTGCACCTCCCCGCACTCTCTCACTCTCAGACAATAGAAAAGATGTCCCAGCTACAGAAACAGCAAGGTGCCAAATGATTTCTCAGACTTATTTGTGGTGTTTTAAAGATACAATAAAAGCTGTATTGATTTTTTTTAAAATGAGGGTTTACATTTATAAAGTGGTAATTTATATTGGAATGTTTCTGTTTTGTAATACCATTCAACATTATGATCCTAAGTTCCTTCAAGATAAATACAAAGTGCAGAATATTTTGGGGAAATGATTATCTTGAATGCAGAGATATTGTTAGTATATGCGTCAAAAAATAAGTGAAAATTTATTAGCTGCTGATAATATAAAAGCATTACTTTCTAAAGTATTTTCAGAAAAGTGTATTTAACATAGGGGAGATTACTGTTAACATATTGAGGTTAAAACTCTGGAAAAATTGTTTCACCATTAGTTCTAATATTTTTATGTTGATAATTGGTTTTATAGAAGTGTTTGTTTTTGTTTTATTTAACCTAAACAAGTAGTAATTTATCTAAATTTGGGTGATTCTTAAATAAGTAGTTATTTCATAAAGTAATACTGCATGTTAACTAGAAATAAGCATAAAACTAGAGATATTTGTTTTAGTAATTAGTTTGTTAAGCTTCTCTGAAAATTCTCGGGAACGTTATCTGCCAGTGCTTCATTGTTCTGTGTAACATTCTAGATTTATAAATTAGTATGTGACATTATGTTCTTTGCCCATTTAAATTTATTTCTAGGTGCTAACTGCCAAAGAGAGAAAAACTCAAATTGATGATAGAAACAAATTGACTGAGCATTTTATTATCACACTTCCTATGTTGCTATCAAAGGTATAGTTTCATTTACATTTCTGTGCTAATATGCCACTGAGTTTGCTTATTACACTGAACTATTAAAGTAGTCACTTCTTTTTTCTTTTCTTCTCTTCCTTCTAGTATTCTGCAGATGCAGAGAAGGTAGCAAACTTGCTACAAATCCCACAGTATTTTGATCTAGAAATTTATAGCACAGGTAGAATGGAAAAGGTAAGACACTGTGAAATTGAAATTCTATTATAGTCAGTTTAATTAACTAGATTATTTCATTTCATATAATCTATAGGCTTATAATTTGACAGATGCTTATTTTTATTAATCTAAATATCATAGTTTTTTTTTTTTTTTTTTCCTCCTCAGCATCTGGATGCTTTATTAAAACAGATTAAATTTGTTGTGGAGAAACATGTAGAATCAGATGTTCTAGAAGCCTGCAGTAAAACCTATAGCATATTATGCAGTGAAGAGTATACCATCCAGAACAGAGTTGACATAGCTCGAAGTCAGCTAATTGACGAGTTTGTAGATCGATTCAATCATTCTGTGGAAGATCTACTGCAAGAGGTCTGTTTTAAAGTTAATGTGTATATATGTGATAATTTTGGCTAATAGTTATTCAAAGTTGTTGAATGTGTAAATTGTTTCCATTTTAAAGTAAAATCTAGTAGAATTCCCTACCTCTTTCAGATCTTAGCATTATTGCAGCTGTTCATCCTGTAAAGATTAGCCTTGGTTATACTTTATTTTAAACACCTATTTCATAAAAGCTAAATCTTTTCTCTTTTAAGAAATACCTTTTTAAGGTCTGGCTCTTCTTAATTCATTTTTTCATTTTTTATTCCTGGAACCTAAATTATATTTTAATATTATTCAACTCCTATAATGTGCTAACGAATACAACATAAAAATTAAGTGTACTTATAAGGAACAGCCACTCACCAGTGGTGTGCCCAGGATAGCAGCAGACCTCTCCCAACTGTTTTTTTTTTTTTTTTTTTTTTAATGTTTATTTTATTTTTGAAGGAGAGAGAGTGAGCATGACCAGAGAAGGGGCAGAGAGAAAGAGGGAGACAGGGGATCTGAAGCCCCGACATGGGGCTCGAACCCACAAACTGTGAGATCATGACCTGTGTCATGATAAGTGAGTCACACACTTATTCAACTGAGCCACCCAGGCACTTCTCCAGCTGGTTATTTTTATAATTACTTTTGTGATTCCCATTTCTTGCCCTCTTCCTCCAATCATTGTAAGGCAATTTGGAACCCCCACAGATTTCTGTGCTCTGATGGCCAGACTGATAGGATTTTCTTTTTAATCTATGTAACCAATTTTTCCAACTTCTAATTTTTAATTTTAACTTCTGAGTTTTATCAACCATTTTTTATTTTTCATTGTGATTTTGAGCTACCAAAGGAACTGACAGTAAAATCTTTGAAGTAACCATTAAAATCTTTAAAGCACGTACCTTTTCACTCAGCAGTTTCAGTGAATTTATGCTAAAGTATTAATCAAAAAAATGTACAAAGTTAACATTTATGACATTGTTTAAAATGCAAAAATGGTTATCTCTGGGTATTACAATTATGGCTGTTATTTTTTATTTTTTTGCTTATTTGTACCTTGTTTCTTACCAACAATGAATATGTACTCTTTATATAATAAAAAAGAATTCTTTTAGGCAGTAAGCATTAACAGACTTTCGTGTGAATTTGAGGGTAAGTAAAGTTATGGTAATGAAGTGATGTCTTTTTTTTATTTATAGGGAGAAGAAGCTGATGATGATGATATTTACAATGTTCTTTCTACATTAAAGCGGTTAACCTCTTTTCATAAGTACGTCATTTTATTTAGATTTGGTTAATAACATATATTAGCCAACGTAAAATAGACTGTTTTGATAACATTTGACGTCTGTATAACAATGGAAATTTTTAGACAAATATAGAGATGTTATGATTTTTTTACTATTCAGATTTTCTCTCTATAAATTATTGGTTTTTATTGATTATTTAAGGAGTAAGATTTATCATTCAAGTGTAACAGATGTACACTGTACACTGTAAAAATTTGTTAATCAATATTATTAACACATTAGATGGGCTTACTCTATAAGCTAGAGTTGTTTTTTTTTTTTAATTTTTTAATATTCATTTTTGAAAGAGACAGAGCATGAGTGAGGGAGGGGCAGAGAGAGAGACAGAGACACAAAATCTGAAGCAGGCTCCAGGCTTGAGCTGTCAGCCCAGACCCCAATATGGAGCTCAAACTCATAAACCTTGAGATTATGACCTGAGCCGAAGTCGGACACTTAACCAACTGAGCCACCCAGGTGCCCCATAAGCTAGATAGAGTTTTATAGGTATAATTTTCAATTGATAGCTTTTAGAAATCTTAATAAGAAAAAAATTTGGGAGGAAGCCATGAAAGTTCATCTAAGTGTCATTTTCAAATTGTAATTTACATGTCCCTTGTTAATGAAGTGTGTTTGCTCCATAAAGAAAGGAAAATAAAGATCTTTGTTGTCTAAAGAATGTTTAAGTGTAGCCCTTACATTAATGAACACTTCAGATTTCAAAAGCAATGTGTAAAATCTAAGACTTTTAGATTTTCTTTTTACACAAGTACATTTTTTAGACTTCTATGGAGAAATAAACTCTTAGTTTTAAAAATATTTTGACATTTCAAAATAATAATTGACAACTAATGTCAAAACTCCTATTTTAAAAAATATTTTGACATTTCAAAATGAAAGTTAACAATGGGGCGCCTGGGTGGCGCAGTCGGTTAAGCGTCCGACTTCAGCCAGGTCACGATCTCGCGGTCCGGGAGTTCGAGCCCCGCGTCAGGCTCTGGGCTGATGGCTCAGAGCCTGGAGCCTGTTTCCGATTCTGTGTCTCCCTCTCTCTCTGCCCCTCCCCCGTTCATGCTCTGTCTCTCTCTGTCCCAAAAATAAAATAAACGTTGAAAAAAAAAATTAAAAAAAAAAAAAAATGAAAGTTAACATTCACTGATCTATTTTTAGTAGTAGAACTCATGAGAAAATAAAATGTCAGCATTATTTCAATTAAGAAGCCTATAGCCACACTAAATTTCAAGCTTTGCCATATTTCCTTTCCCCCATTTCTGTCTTTATCTCTATTTTTTTTTT